CCCCCCCCAAGCATACAGTATAAACAATCCAAGATTTTGGGTCACCGTGGTGTATAATTTCCCGCATGGACGGTGAGGTGCCACGTGATTTTATATAACAAGCTGAAAATGACTCATGGCGTCATGCAGGGGACAAGCCACTAACCTAATTATCACCTCAACACTTGCTGATTTTGTTACATGTTGCTGTATATAGATTCTATATGTCATCTGCAAGTGTCAGTAACAACAAATCATTCTAATCAATGGCGCTGAAACAAGGGATTTTCACATGATAGAGTCATAGAGGGAGAACAAGATATGCGATGTCGGGAAGTTAAAATGTGCTAAAGTAAATAGTGTAATATTCTGGCCCAATTGTTCCTGCTAGAAACAAATGAACTTCCAGGTCCTGATTGTACATTAGACTGTATGGGGATACTGTACTTGTTTTACATATTGAAATAATCTGAATCTGCTCTACACATTTTTGTGATACCAGAAGCCGATTAATCGATGATTGAAAAAGTTGACAACTTTTTCAATAATCGATTATAATCGATTATGTTGATTAGTTGTTGCAGCCCTAATTGGGTGGTTGTGCTGGTGGGGGATTGGGTGTCCCCATCCTGGATCCCACCTTGCTGCTCCATGAGCCCAGAACCACTGTGAAGGTGGCCAAGGAAATCCTATCTAGAAATCTAAAACATTTGTGCTTCTTTATTGACCATACAGCACTGATATAATCTGATGGACAGATTATTATGACCACCCCATCAGTACTTCGTTGGGCCCCTCGTGACCCCACAAGATGACTTTGTTGGGCCCCTCGTGACTCCACGAGATGGTGAAAGGTGATGCGAGGAATCTGACACTGCACTGTTGCCCTTCTGTTGTCTTGTACCAGTCTTGCCACTCTGTTCTGCCCTAACATTGACTAGTCGCTGACAGCCACAATTGGCACGTTCAGACCCAGATTTTCGGCTGACAGTCCGGTCTTTAAACACTTTAACAACAGCTGCTCTTGAACATTTAACAAATTCTGCTGTTTTGCTGATACTCGCTCCATGGCTCCGAGCGCCAACAATCATCCTACGTTCAAAGGCTGTTAAATCGCGTTGTTTCCCCGTATCTTCAGAAAAAAAATCACTTCTACTGTCATGGTAAACAACCTGCTTCCCTATTTATAATGGTCTGGCCCTCTAGCAACTTCAGCGCAAAATTATAGCTAATTTGCCTACAAACGTCAGGTGGTCATAATAAACTGGCCACTCAGTGTATGTATCAAACCTACATTGGATACAGACATTGGATACACACAGAGCAGACAGCAGCCACCATCTCCCTATCATCTCTGCCATGGTGCCCC